AAGGAAGGAAGGAAGGAAGGAAGGAAGGAAGGAAAGAAAGGCAAATGTTAGCATTTATAAAACCTATGAAAATACTAAATAGTAAAAATTTCTTATCTTAGCCCCCCTGGGTACATACCTTCAGCGTTGAGGTGCATAGTCTCCAGGGGTCCGATAAATGCATAGCGCATGCCCAACCCATCCGACATCACAAGATCGAGATCACTGGGAGATATAATTCCTTCCTACATAGAAGAACAGGGCAGCATACAAGTGAGTTTTCTGGAAAGGCAATTTCATTATTATCACTTTTATCCTAACTTTTCTTTTTTTAAAAAAAATGATAGAGTGCATGTGCATGAGTGAGAAAGAGAGAGGGGACAGGGAGAGAGGGACAAGAAACACCCTCAACAGGGTTCTGTCACACTGTGATCCCCTTTCCCCCTCCGTCCAGTGCCACAGGATTCTGGCTGCCTGCATGCATGCCCAGCAAGTTTTCAAGCCAACCTAGGATTCCAACCCATGGTCAGCCGCATGGCTTTCAGTCTTGCAGGGCATTTACATTGCTGCTGCACCACAGTAACTGGGTGCATCTTAACTTCGTAGAGTAGGATCCCAAGGTATCCTCCAATGCACTGTAATAGTATTTTGGTTTTGGTTTTAAAGTTTATTTACATATTTCTTCCAGGATACAGAGAAAGAGAGAGAGACAGTCACCTTCAGCAGGGTCTTCACACTGCCATCTACCCCCAGCCTCAGCCAGGTAGGATCTTGGGCATACATGGATGCACCTTGTGTGTATAGGAAGACTCGGGACACAAACCCAGGACCTTCCTATATAGCTTCAGCATTGCAGTGGTATTGCATTACCGCCACACCACCATGGCTGACCTGTAACAGTATTTTGACCAAATTTTAGATGCAAAACTGTAATACATAAACAGATCCTGAAAAAAAATAATAAGAAGAAGAAGACTATTTTGTGACATGGTCAAATACCAGTTCCCTCTTTCCATACTTACAATCAGCCTTGACGTTACTTCCTTTCACCTTCCTATGCCCATGACTGCTGCCTCCCCACCTCAGCCCTAGAGCCTATGCTCCAGCTGCAGCTGTGGAGATGCAGGACAGGACCAAAGGTCAGGGAAGAGTAAGGATGAGGCACTGAGGAAAAGGCCAGGGACCGTCTGTATGTTTGCCCAGGACCTATGGAGTACGCTTAGAGTCATCAAAAGAGGTGGAAAGTTGCTACCCAGACTTCCCCTGCTTGCAAGTCTGGCCTTGTTTGGCTTTTAATGAGTTTGTAAAAAATGTTATTCTTTGATGAAATGCAGCTTAGAACCATGGCTTTGTTTGCCAAGGTGGGGCTCTACGATCTTTCATAAACGTGAATTACGAAGCAAGAGGCAGGCTGTTATGTGTTTAGGCTAGATGTCAACTGGCAATCTGTGTTTTTTGGCCTGTTCTTGATATAGCTACTGACCTGCGCGGCTCTGGGGATGAAGCGGGGGATGTATAAATCAATATTTATGTGATCTAACAATTCGCTGCCTGCTCACTCCCATCCGTGGGCATTGTAAAAATTGTCTGTTGTAAAACAGACACTTTGATTGGCAGAAGGGCAGACACAAGCCATCCTATCTCCCCCTAAGCCTTTGCAGCAGACTGGCATGTCACCATGCAATCTGCCACTCCCGGGTCCCGTTCCTGAGCAGTTCCATTAGCAGACCCGGCACTGTGAAAAGGGGTCCAGCTCTCACCCCGGCAGCCAGAGCAGGCCTGCCACCTGTACGTCTGTAAGCGGCTGCTAACCTTACCTGTGGCAGCGTAGGCAGCCCCACCAGCTCTCAGCTGGGGGCCCAGTTTCTCTACCCCAGAGGCAAGCGGTCCACCAGCCACGCTTCATTCTGGGCACAGGCAAATCCCTGCCTTTCCCTGAAAGGTCTGCCTGTTGATTTTCTATTCAAAAAGAGAGCCCTTATCGACCTTAGGGGGTGCTCTGAGGCTTCACCTGAGGCCCTGCTCAAAGGGAGGAGCCCTCTGCCCTATAGGTGTCCTAGAGGTCTGGGGCTCAGAGGCTAGAGCACCCCCTGCTGTCCGGCCTCCTCCTGCTGCTGGCACATTTCTCAGACTTCAAAGGCAGCCTGTTAGGTCACCCAGGTCTTTGTGAGAAAGAAGACTGACAATCCAGATCCAAGGGCAACACGTAGGTGGGCTAGGTGTGCATGCCCTTTGGAGCTCCCAGGTCACCTGTAGGAACTCCAAGGAGAGGCGGGTAGAGAGGATGGAACACAAGAACCATGAAGACAGGATAGCCATCCGCGAAGGGCAAGCACGGTGACACATGACTGAGCGCCTCCATTTGAAAGAGCCACTTTCAGGCCAGCAGTTGGCGAGGAGGTTAAGGCAACTGGATCCCACATGATGGACTCTGTGGTTCGAGACTCAAACAGTGGCTTGAAAATCACTCAGCGTGTGTGCATGCCTGCCCAGAGGCCAAAGAAGAGAATGGAGGAGAGAGGATTGCATGGTGGCCATTCCCCTGGGGGGTAATTTCTTACTTTCCTTCCTCTCTCTCTCCCCTTCTTTCTCTCTCTGTCTGTCTGTCTCTTCTGGTGAACAAACGGGCGGAGTAACAAAACTAAAAAAAAATTTTAAAAAGCCACTTTACATTCTGTTTTGTTTGTGTGTGCAAGACAGAAACATCCAGAGACATGCATGGGCCATGTACGTGTGGTTTAGAGCACAATGACCTGAGCCATCTTATCTGCTCTCCCCACTGTATCCTCCTTCCTGAAGATAAACACCCTGACTCTGTGAGAACTGCTTCCTTCCTTTTCAGATTGACCACCAATGTCTACATACCTCAATATCAGAGCTCACTTTACCTGTTTCTAATCTTGTAAATGGAACCACACTGTGGGTGTTCTTGTGTAAGCTGTATCTGTCTCTCAACATTATGTTTTGTTTCAAAAAGTTTATTTATTTATTTCTTCCATGGTTAGGGATGGGGAGGGACCCAACAGGGTCTTCTACCATAATCCAGTCTGTCTCAGCTAGCCAGGATCACGGACATGTGCACCCCTTGTGCTTACGGAGGTCCCAGGATGTGAACCCAGAACCTTTCTTTTCCCATGTGGGTCCAGTCGTGTTAGCACTGCACTACCACCTGACCCCTCGACATTATGTTTTTCAGATCCACCCGTGTTGTGTGTAGCTATATTTGTCCTCATTACTGTGTCACCCTCCCAGTTTGCTTGTCCATCCTACTGTTCATGAACATTGAGGTTGTTTCTGGTTTGTGGCAACTCTGAACAGGGTAGCCATGAATGTTCCCGCATTCGCCTCCCAGCCTATGTCTAAGAGCAGAACTGCAGAGTTCTAGCCAGGTGGCCTTCTACTTTAGCAAAGGACATTACAACACTGTCCAAAGTGGTGGCACCACATTTCCTGCCCCGAGCACTGGGTGTGGACGAGTTTCCAAACTCTGTTCCAACACTTGGAGTCTGCTGTGGCTTGTGTCACCCAAAATGCATGTACTGAGATTTGGTTGTGAAGGTATTAAGAGGAAACTTGAGTTGGCTCTGTGACCTGGTAGTTAAGAAAGCTGGATCTCACATGGCCAATCAAGTGGTTCAAGTCCCAGACCTGGTGGCTTAAAAAACACACTGGGCTCATGTGCATGCATACCCCAAATCCTGACAGGAGAGTAGAGGAGAAAGGATTGCAGCACACTGTGTCCCTCTATGGGAACCTTCTCCCTCTCCCTCTTTCTCTCTCTGATGAGCCTCTCCTCCTCTTTC